CTGTGCTTTCCCTCCACACAGACAGTGATGCAGCGATTGTCCAGCACATTCTTTCCTAAAACGATTCTAGATGCAGACTGGAAGATGTTGTTGATTGTGCTGTTGTTCCAGAGGCAAATGTAGTCTTTTGTCTCATTCTGTATGTGTGCACAAAAGGATGTTTTGTGAGACTATGGGGTAATAAGTAGCTGACCTGAGCACAGCGCTTTATGAAATGGTGTGATTATGACATGGCTGTGTTACTATAATGCAGGTCAGACAGTGACCTATTTAAAAAACTCCCAAGAGACAGGGCAGGTGGCTGCTGCTCAGCCAGTCTGACGCTCTCTGTCTGTCCATGTGGTTATTTCTTCTCTTCGTGCTTTCCCTTATCTGTCATTCCTATTCAAACCTCCCATCTTTTTAAAACATTTTCTGGAAACTATTACTATTTTTTTGTTGTTTTTTTTTTTTGGTTGGTTTTTTGTGCTCATTACAGTGTGGATGAACATGTCAGTATATTGCCATTGAATGGTTTGCATTCTGTTAAACATATTTCAGGCTGTCTGTTTTGGAGTAGCATTTGATTCCTTCTTTTCATCTCCCTGAGTATCTGCCTGTGTTTGTCTTCATTCCCTTGTCTTTGACAGTACTCTTTCTTAATAAATCTGGATTGTTTGCCCTGCAACAGCCTACAGTGAGCAGCTGGGCCAGCCAGGGAATCACTAAGCTATTGGTTTAATGATGCCAGCTCTTACTTTACTGAGATTTATGTCTGTGTCTATAAACTGCCTGTCCCCACACACAAACACATGAAAAACATGCATAGGTACGATAAGACGGCTAGACAGACGCACACGGTGTTGAGCTGTCATCATCATTCCCAGTCACAGATTGCATCTGCAAACTCATTTTTGTCAGATATCAAAGGTCAAACATACCTGCAGACATAACACATTTGTGCACAGCATGCTGAAGAATTAGCAGCTGAATTAGACAGATGGAAAAGCTTAGAACCTACACACACAGGGGTATGCACACACTCAGTCTTTTTGCAAATTTTGAGCAAATGGTGAAACAATTAAAATGTAGCAGAATCATTGAGCCTAATGATATAGCTCATGTCTGAGGCCTGTGTTTTCCTGGGTGGAGAAAAGACATTAAATAGCAGCATGATTGGTTGTGACTAAATGACAATGCTGGAGTTGGAAAGTGGCGCATGAGGGGAGGAGAAGGAGCTGAAAAAAGAATGGGAATAGAAGGGAAAAAATGAGGAAGGGGAGAGAGCGAAAGAAAGGAAAGACAGTAATAGTTTGATGCAGCCATACAAACACATGTCAGGTGTTTTCTGGCCATCTGGAGAATACATTTTTGGGGGAGACAAGTGCAAATAACAGTGGGAAGTGGAAGAAGAGGATGAGCCAAGATATTTAAAACCCTGTCTGGGTTTCAAGTCGACCATGGACCTCTTAATCTCATCCACTTGACAAACATACACACAAGGCTAGGCAGATGTCTAGCTAGCCTATTTTCATGTGACCTGAATTCCCCAGTGTGGCATTTTTTTCCCTGCTGGGCTAATCTCATTAAGCTGGGTGCAGAGCTCAAGAACAAATACACAAGGCTTCCCTTACTCCCACTCTGCCTTCCTCTCCTCCTTTTGTCTCCTCTTCATCACGCTCACTTTCTCTATCAACTCCCCCTACTTTCTTCCTCTAAGCTTCCATTTTTATTCCTGTCTTCCTTCCTCTTCCTCCTCTTCCTCCTACTCAGTTGTCTCCTATATCTGTCCCTGCTTTCTGTCTAATTATGGTCTGCCACAGCAGAACAGAACAGAGCAGAGCAAGTCTAGCTAGGCAGGGGAGTCAAGCTCAGAGAGCCACTTCTGCTTCCACATGCACAATCAATCCTCATTATAGCCAGCTCTTCTGCCTTCCACTTGCCTCTTCATATCTGCCTATTAAAGCTCGACACACCTTTGTCTGCCAGCTTGTGGAAATCAATGCAGTGCATCATTGCATCCGTGAGGCAAGCCTGATTCATGGTCAGAGCACAACAGAATGCCGTTATTTACAATCATCCTAATCCTCCTGCCTGCTTTCTGGTGGTGATTGTGTGTGTTCACATGTGGCAACAGCAAAAAGGAAAAAAAGCCACACAGCAAGCAAAATTATGTATAAGATAAGGACTTGTTTCTGATGCAGTGCACCAAAGATGGAATACAAAATGCTACCACATGCAGTTCTCTTACAGATGGTTAGCCCAGATTGGAGTCTGTTTGCTGTGTCACTGGGCTGCTGTTCTGAATCTGGTCTTGGTTACTATTAGCAAATTCTTGGTCAAAACAGATGCTTGTCATGAAAATAAAGCCTAAAGGATATTGTTGGCCACAGAGAACATAAAGGCCCATATTCTCTCCCGTGAAAGGTCATTTGTTTGCTTCTCCATGGCAACTTGGCTAAACAGATCTTATGAATGTTTAATATTTAAATTTTTAAAGCTTGAAATGTGTCTCATTCCACAGAGGAAACAAGCTTTTCTTTCATAAAGATTTATAAATGTAGAGATTAATGCTTATACTACCTTGCCCGACCCCATATTCTAATATTTAGGCTAGTGGTTAAGGCGCAGCGCTCCCGACGCTGCGGCCCAGGTTCGAGTCAGGGTTGCATCAGGAAGGGCATCCGGCGTAAAACACGTACCAAATGTCAACATGTGAGTTGTCAGTGTGACGATTCGCTGTGGCAAAAAGCCGAAAGTGACTTTCTTACAGGAATTTCAATGCTTCCTGAGGAGTACACTTTCCTCATGTCAAGCCTGAAATGAAGCAGGATTCACCCCCAGAGGAAGTTGCTGATGAGAACTGTCGAGGCTTCCTCTAAATCAAAGATCAAGCTTTAAAGCTTTGGGACCAAGTGGCTGAGTTAGTCAATTAAGCATATGAAGATGTTCATTTCTCTCAATCCTATAGTTGTTCCAATGATGCAGTCTTCTTGTCCTAGTGTTGCAAATGTAGAGCTGAGGACAAAGACACAATGTCGAAAAGATAAGCAGAAGGAAGACTACCTTGTCTTCTATAAGGGCTGTCATCTCCAAAATAGAGACAACTAAAACCCACGTCCACTACTGATGCAGCAACATGCATTTTAAATATGTATGTGATTTTGTTTCTCCCAGAATGCATCATGTATGGCAGCCAATATTAGCTAATCTCAGATGTAATGGTATTGGTGTAGATGTACAGAAGTTCCAAAATATGTTTTTGCTAATTCTGTGTGTTACAGTGGTTGTTATTCTGCCACTGGACTTATTGCATTAGTATTCCATCACATTAAGCTAAGCTGCTTTGAATGTTCTTGACTCATCTGCATATTTTTGATTCAGCTTCTTCTCAGTTTTGAGCCAGTAACCAGTCAGCCTTTCAGCCCTTTTCAACCCCACATACCTAGAAATGCTGTTTATAGATGAGACGCATCTCGGGACAAATGAGCTTTCAAGCAGCTAATGGTACACGTTTCCAAATTATCTTGCCACAAATTAGACTTTTTATCAGATCAAAGAGAAAACGCACTGACAATCGGTACATCATGCCTCAAGTCCTTTTGACTGACAGTGTTTGTTTTTCTTGAGATGAAGTATGTTATTCATTGGTTTGGCAACTGACTGTGCATCGTCTAGAGATCTTATCTATAATAACTACTTAGTACATGATACATTGTGTAAAGCTCTGCCCACAGTTGTTACACAGGAAATCTGACATTTCTTGAACCAATTCGTTGTCGCCTGATTTTTATCTCTTGAAAGATTATTTTTCCCACAGCCTTTTTTTCTGTGGCACCACATAACGCACCATGTGAGACGTTATCTCGTCATGGTGTGTGTCTGTCTCAACACATTGTTATGAACAGAGCAACTAAAGAACAGTATTCTAACTGGTTCCCCAGAGCAGATGATCTGATTTGTGTTTGGAATACTTTATTGCTCAAATTTTCATATTAATGATGATGGTGAGCTACTAAAACTAGTTAAAGCAGTAGGTCTGTGGGTTAGCATTTTAGAGGTACAACTGGTGGTAGAAGGGTGAACGCTTTCATAGCACCAGTAAGCTCACTCAGTAGCACATTATACTTCTGTTATGTAAACCATACAACATCACAAGTGTAAAAGTGGTAAATCAACATTTTTCAGGGGATTATGTATTGGACTGTTTCTTGACCCCAAGAGACCCCAGGATACATAATGACTGCCCAAGAAGCCTGGCACCCAACCACTCATAAAAAGACAATTAGTCATTTTAAAACTGTTTCTTTCTACATGTTAAACAAGATTTGGAATGTTAATTAGTGAACTTTTTGAGTCGCTGGTAGGTGGATTTTGCTATCTGTTGGCTTTTTCCTGTTGTACTAAACTAACCAGCTGCTCCTCATAGCTTCATATTTAACATACAGAGAGCGTGATATCGATCTTTTCACTTTTCTTTCTACCAGAAAGCAAAGAGTGTTTCCTAAAATATCAAACTATTCCTTTGATATACTTTTAAAGTTCAAGCTTGAGCTCTTGTAACTACAACACATTCTTAGTTTTTTACAGCTTTGTGTTGTATTGTGTTTTCAGGTTGAAATGTATTAACCATATTGCTTTGTATTTAGATTTATGAAAATTTTCATAAATAACTCATTATGTCTGCCACTCAACCCCTGCATCTTATTCTCCACCTTTCCCCACCTCTTCCTGTACTCTCAACAGTCACTAGAAACAGCTGCCTATGCCCCAGGAGGAAACGCACATGACTTACAAGGTCATCTCTCTCTGGCTCACTAAGATCTTGCCTGACAACATAGCAACACTGTTCATTCCCTTTTCCTTCCATTCATCCTTCTGTCTCATCTTCCCATCTTTTCCATCTCTCTGTCACCCTCCGCTGATCAGTCTATCAGGAAGCAATCATTTAAAAACACCATTATAAGTGAAACTACTGTATTGGGAAGCCAATTAACCTTTACATCCTCCCTCTCCCCCAGGCCCAGGACCTGAATGTGATTGAGGAGGTGATCCGCATGATGCTGGAAATCATCAACTCTTGCCTGTGTAACTCTCTACACCACAACCCCAACCTGGTGTATGCGCTGCTCTACAAGAGGGAGCTCTTTGAGCAGTTCAGGATGCACCCGTCTTTCCAGGACATCATGCAGAACCTGGACACGGTCAGTCTTCTTTTGCTTTGCCTGGGAGTGCTTCATCACATGGTGTTGTGATGACGTGGTGTTGTGCTGACAATTATTCCATGCAGATTTTCCCTGAATGTCCAGCCATGGGAGTGTATGGCACACTGAGCTCTGGGAGCTTAAGTAGTATTGATGATTTCATCAGTCCCCTTGTGTCGAGAGGCTCTGTGTGAAATATTCATTGGTAGTGTATAGAGGAGGAAGGAATAGCACGAGAAAAAGCGGTCATTGATAGCTGTATATTAATCATGTAGAGGAAGGTTGAAATCTTTGGTGTGAATGTATGTATGTCTGAGGGATGGGCAAGCATAAGGTAAGCATGCTAGCTAGAATCCCTCAGTTAAGTCAGTCCAAAAGCATCCCAAATTCATGAGGGTGTGCTTTTTTTGTTCCTCTAAATTAACCCCTTATGTGAAGACTTCAGAGTTAACGAGGAGATTAGATAGATGTAGACACACACACACACAGTTCATGTGGGCTTTGGCATATTTGAATTCTCTAAAGCAACCATAGCATGAGCAGAGAAAACATTGCCTGTAGATACATTTTTCATTGCTGGCTTGACAAAAATGAGCTTTAAAAGGAATCAGTAATAACTGGTTTTCTTTTAATGATCACATTTCAAACACTTCTCCAGGGAAAGCACAGCAGTAGAAATGCAAAGTACAGATTCCTTGATGTCTTGTTTGGGCTTAAACCCAGAAGGCATCAGATAATTTAAGCACTAATGACATCCTTATTTTTGGTGGGAAGGAACATGCTCAAATTCTACAATGAATTTATAGTCTGAAATACTGTATATTTACTGGGCATGTAGCCTACAGGCATATTAGCTAACCGTGTTTGTAGATTCTTTTCGTTTGTGTAGCATGTGTAGAACAGAATTGATAATTGTATAGCAGTTTACCTTATCCGTGTATTTGCAAAGATTCTCAATCAATATTGTTGTATATTTGACATATAAAGTATACTATATGTATCTCTGTATCCTTGCATAGTATAGATGCATTTTCAGAACAATTTACTGTTGCTAAGAAACTAAACGAACCATGGATGCATCGACATCTGCAGCTAGCTACATAGATTTAACAACAGCTTCTCTGACACTTAATGAAACAACTTGTTAACATTAACATCAGTGTTACTATTTTCAGCATGAAGCCCATTATATGTAGACTGATGCCACTGTGTTCTAACTTGGATTCCATAATCTGAACAATGTTCTATAGCAGTTTACAACTACATTATAGTGTGGTTTAGGAAATGTTTGTATGCATGCAAAATATGTGGTACTGTTAGTAAATTTTTAGCCTTCAAATTCAACAGACCGAGAGCATAGGGGTATCTATTGCCTCATCTAACTCCTAGAAAGAACGCAAATATTCATATATCCCAAAATGTTAAACTATTGCTTTAACTCTGTACAGTCTGTCTTACTGCTTTACCCCATGCAAACACTGCAAAAAATATCTCCACCACACCAATGTATTTTTGTCACCTTTGGTTTATGTACTGTGATTGACTTTTTCTTCTCGTTTGACCTTTAGGTGATCGGCTTCTTCAGTCAGCGCCTGGAGCAGGCTGGAAGTGACCTGTCAGTTGAGAGGGTTCAGGAGGTCATCATGAAAGGAGCCCAGGCCCTGCCCAAGGACAGACTGAAGGTAAGTCACACATACAGCAGTAGGATAAAAGGAAAGCGAGAGCCAGAAGACAAGGAATAAACGTACAGAGGACATTTATAGAGGGTACGGTGTGTTGTCAGGGGCTATGAGGTGCAGGGGATTGGTCCCGCAAAGGTGAAGAAAATTTAAATAGTGTGATTGAACATGTGAGGGACTGGGAGAGATATGGGATAGGGTTATGAACTGGGGTGAGGGAAAGATTGAAAGAGCCATTGGGACATGAGAAAAAAGACCCAAGCCCACTTCTCATTAGCATTAATGACCATCTTCATTCCATCTCTGCCTGCCTGCTACAGTGGAACATGTAATGACATTTCAAGGAGATGGGATTGGGGCTATGGAGCACTTTGTCATGGGCATATAAGATAGGTGGGGTGGGGGTGGAGCAGAACATAAATCTGCCACCGCGCCCCGTTACCCAACACTCTAGCGGGTTTGCTAACCCCCACCCTTCTCAGTAGTCTTTCATTAATCTGTGAGGAAATATGTGACCAGCGGTCTCCCCCACTCCGTTCCTCACCAGCACATAAGCTCTTAATTGCATGTTTCATCATGTGTTTCATGGTCTATACTTGGCGGCTGGCTGCGAGGCATTTGTCTCGCTAGCCGATGAGGAAGAGGGATGGCGGGTGGCCACGAGTCCATGTGCTCTCTCTGTCTCGTTCTCCGTCAGCACCTCAAGTGCTAATGTTGATCGACCACAGAGCTGAAGAATTACTCATGTGGATAACCCTGCCATGTCCTTCACTGAGGGAGTACCTGTAGCACACACTTGTGCAGTCAGGAGTGTGCCTGTATGACGTCCCCTTCGTCTGTGTGTGTTTGAGGATGAACATGTGGATTTGTGTGTTAGCATTGCTGCACCTGAACATGAAACCGCGTGCGCAACCAAGTGTTACCAGTCTTTGTTTCTGTGCAAAAGTGTTGTTGAGTTTCAAACTGAGTGCTTTCCAGTTCCACAGGGTGACGTGAAGTGAAGAGATTATCAGGGCAATGTCTCCTTGGGGGAAGGTCCTTGTTGCTTGATGGTACCATCACTCAAACATACCGCTCTCTCTCTCTCTCTCTCTCTCTCACTTCCCTTCATCTTATGAGCTCACTCTGCTATATTCAGCCCACAGCTCCAAAATCCATAGGTTGAATTAAGGCTGTGTGGAATCATCTATAAGTTGGTAATTGCTCAGTAAAAGCTCTTAGGGGTATTGGTGTCTTAATTAGTTGTGCATGCAGAGAGGGCTAACAAGAAAGAGATGTAAGGGCATTTGTTCCTGTCTAATCAACAAGCACAAGTTGAATCGGAGCATTTTATTCAGTTTGGTTTTACCATCATCAGTGAAGTTCCTCTATCCTGTTGTAAATTTCATATTTAATAGTAGTACAGTGCATGCCAGTGAATGCCATGTTCTGTTGTTTTTTTTGGGAAGATAGTTTCTGAAAATTGCATTTGATCTGTCTCAATGTGTACACGGATTAACTTTGCTGCCCTACAGTCTTTTTGTTGAGAGGAGCTAACAGTTAATAAGTCAATAATTTTGTTTGTTTTAGTGACACAACAGAACTGTTTTATTTTAGGCAAATGGAACATTGTAGACACAAGACTACAAAAAGTCTGTTTACTTAAGACCAAAATGCATTTACACACAGCTGCAGACATGTAAATTAGGTCCCAACTGAAAGAAAGGTTTACTACAAGAAGAAGGTGTAAAATACCCCAGGGACGACCCTCAGTGCCTCGTCTCACAGTCTCTCTAATTCTTTGTGGTGTATGTGTGTTGTTTCAGGATGTGTGTGGGGTCTGAATGGCTCTCATGGGCAGTGCCTGTGGAATGTGTTGTTTAGCCTGACCAACTGAAATCTGCCTCACTGAGCAGCGATAGCCTACAGACTCTCTGGCTCCTTAGGAGGGAACGGAAGGGGTGGGGAGCTTACCAGTCGTTGCTAAGTACCTGGACCTCTTTCTCACACATTGATAAAGATAACACTAAATGCATTTCCTCACATGGGCACCTCTTTAAGAAGTAACTGTAGATAAACCTCTGTTTGAGATGTGTCACTGACTTACAGTGTATAATACAACCTGTCTTCACAAGTGATTTCATCCTGGGGGTGTAACACGTGTGACTTCACTCAAATTTAGGGTGAATAAGGTTGTGTTACAGTAACGGCGTTAGTGCAGGAGGACTGTAGAATTATTTATAGGATTTTTATAATTATGGAGTAGAAGTTATTGCCACCCCCTGTAACCATAAACCTGTCAACCTTCAATGCTTTCAGATGCATGATTTCAGAATGTGAGTTGCAGTAATGTTTCAGGAATTGACCAAAGAAAGAAAGACATGCCCGAACGGTTGGGCTGCTACTGTTTTCATTGAGGGGATCACCAAAGTCTGTAGGATTCATCCAGTGGGCTCCATGAATGTCCATCCTATCCTGGCAATTGTTAGCGAGATATTTCAAACTGAAGTGGGGGAACAGGCTCCAAACCCAATAATGCTCAGTTTACATTCTTAAGCCCCTTTCACACTGACACCCCTAGCCAGGAATTTGCCTCTATTTCACATCTAGGCATCACGTCTGAAAAAGGCCCCACATTGTGAAGCTGGCAAAGTGTTACCGAACATTTTGCCTGGACCTAGTCAAATAGCTGGCAATGTTCTAACCAGCTACATATCTGAATCAAAGCGGTTAAATTGCAGATTGCTAATGCCGCTCCCTTTCTCTCTTCATTCACCTTCCAGCTCGCTCGACTACCACTTCTCTCTCTTTGACACAAATATGAAAAGAAAATAGCATTGCTATGATGTTGAAAGTTTATTTTGACCTCGTACAGAGAAGATACGGTTTAGCAACATGAGCTAACACAGAATGGCTGGAACTTGGTCCAACACCAAGTAAAAAAAAACTGCTAACACTTTGTGCAGAGGATGAAATTACTAACAAGACAAGATAACTAGTAAACGGTATTTCTTTGTGTATGTCTCGCATAATGATGGATATCGTGTGTGTAGGTCCTGCTATATTTGAACAAAGCCTTGCTGGGAATTTCGTGCACAGCAGCTCTACGTCTGAACACCAAATAGCAACTGTCACATGGCTACATGTATGTAGCCTGCAAATTCATGGGTTTAGAAAACAGAAAAGCACCATACCCACACACTGATGTAAATGATAACTTGCTGTAAATTGCCGTGAATTACTTTTCTCATTCTCTCTTACCGTTATCCACACCATTACATTGAATTGGCAGCGTAAATATTGCAGTAACCACTTAAATATAACTACAAGTGTGGACAGGCAATGAGGATAGTGAAGTATAACAAAACTATCTTGAAACATTTGTAAAAATTGGAGATGCAGAAAGAGGATTTTTGAATCCACATTATTGTTAACATGACCTGAAATCACCAGTAGTTATTATGAAAGTGAATGATTTATTAAAATGAATTACATTTTTTCGTAATGATCACAAGTTTTCATCAAAGAATAATGTCTTGCATTTTGATATGTTATCATTCAATGCTTGTGTGTGTACTGGCATGCAAGTGTGTGTGTGTGTGTTTGAGTTGATATTTGCTCCATAGCCACATTCTTCACTGTCTGGCTGAGCTCTGACAGCACAGCAACATGCAGAGGAGGGAAAGGAACACAGAGTCCTGAGTGAAGATATGAGGCCAGCCAGTCAGTCTGTGTTCAGGGGCGAGGGCCTGACCCGCCAGGACCCATAACTAACTGATATGAGCCCAGGCCAATGGGCCCAGACGGCTTCCAGACTGAGGACAAAACAATGGAGGGGAAGAGGAGATGAGGCAACAAAGAGCCAGAGGAGAGAGGGGAAGCTATAGAATGGGCAGAATAAGGAACACATGTAATATTTGGGGTACAATGTGGCAGCCAGGAGACCATCGGATTTTGAAAGGGGACATTTTTAGCATGAGGAATGTAGTGATATCCAAGACTTCCAGTAGCATTAAATCTCTTGGCACCACTATAGAGGGAAAATAACAGCCATTGTGATTCAATAATCATTTTTCTCTTTTCTCATTTTGTGCTCACTATCTAGTGAAAGTGGTCCAATGTGCACTAGGGGCTTTATATTTCTGCCGCTTGGGTTCATAATTTGATCTCCAGAAGGGACTTGTCTTGAGAAGCACTTGTTTTGATAAAAGATGTTTGTTTTAGCAGCACAAGATTCATCATTTTCACATTTCAGTCACTTGACAGCTTGTGAGATTACATACTGGCTGCTTTACTGAAGAGACCTCACATGATAGCAGCTTTTAAAGGAATAGTTAAGCATTTGGGGAAATACACTGATTTGTTCTCTTGTTGAGTCAAGATTGATTCTGCTGTCTGTTAAATATTAAACTGGAGCCAGGAGCTAGCCTGCCTTTGTCTGTACCAAAACCAAGCAGTAAAAATGACTCCAGGAGCCACAGAAGACTCCCTCACATAAACCCATGCAAAACCACAACTTGTAATTTAAAGACTTTGGTTTTCATCCAGGTTAAATTAATGAGATGTAACAAAGTCATTTGTGAGCTTTATAGGAGCTCATTGGCAGATTTGGACAGAGTCAGTCTAGCTGTTTCCCACTGCTTCCAGTCTTTGTACTAAGCTAAGCTAAATGGCTGCTAGCTATAGCTTCATATTTAACATCCAGACATGAGTGGCATTGAGCTTTTCACCTTGGCAACAAAGTGAATACATGTATTTACCAAATTATTCCTTTAATTACTCCAGTTTTAAGAAGCATTTTGTTCTTTTGCTGGCAGTTTTCTGAAGCTTTAACCAAATACCATGTAGAAATAAATGATGTTTTTATGAAGTGCCCATATGTTCAGCTCACTGTTGTTGTTACATGGTTAGTATGGACTGCAGACCAGCACTTTACCATAGTGTGTTTGTTTGTTTTAACATTTTTCATCAATAACAAAATAAGACATATCATTTAATATAAACAGCTCCAAAGCTAAACAAGTGGACAAACATAAATAAATAGTTGAGGCAATAGCACAAAATTTCATCATATAGATGCACAATAATTTTATTTTTTAATCACTTTCATTGTTGATTTCCATGTTTGACTTGTAAACAACATGGCTTCATTCTTCAACTGCCAACAAAGTCCTGTCAATGACACAATAAAAAGAGAAGCCTGAGAGAGGAACATACCTGACTGTAAGAGAGTGTGGAAGAATGCCAAGGTTGAAAGCATTTTTATGCATTTATTGTTGGTGTTACGTCAATAGGTCAATCATACCCGCATTTACAAAGTAACAAAGCATTCAAATATGTGCAGTAGTGGCTGAGAAAAGACCATTTGTGTGCTTATAGTAGAGCTTTGATTTGTTCCACTGGTTCTTGTAACATGTGAGTGCTGCATTCAGAGGTCATGATGAAGTGCTCCTCATATTCTTTCACAGCCCATTCATGGTTTGAAAGAGCATATAAACTGAAATATTGTTATTTCTATGTCCTGCCACTATGGAATTCTGTTATGTGCGATATTATATTGCCACAGTGGCTTATGGCTGTCTATAGACATGTTCTTATGAAAACAGTAACTTATGAAAACATGGCATGTACTATGTTCCTCACATAGATGGTCTGATTTGTTTTTGGAGCACATTAATGAAGGAATTTTCTGATTCGTTAATGTTTTTATACCTGCCGATTTGGAGTTTTACAAAGTTCATTACTGCTTACCTTTTTAAATTAACAACTTCTTTGACCTAGCATGGTGATAACAGGAAATGAATCAGCTATAACTGCTTCCCGTTTTGATTTACTTGTGCTTGTAAAAAACAAAATTCCATCGATTTACTTGTGCTTGTAAAAAACAAAAACAAAATTCCATTTGAAAATGAATGAAAAGCTGCACTCTATTGTATCGCATCTTTTCTGCTAACAGGTGAAAGGGAGCCTAGGTTGAGTACCTGCCACCACCTGAACATTTGATGAGTTGGTAAGCTCGTCTACAAGACGGTCACCTGCGCGCACACAGCAGTGATAACACAGCTTCTGTCACAAAGGGTGGTGTGTGTGTGTGTGTGTGTGTGGTCTAGCCTCAGCAGTGTGGCATATGGCCTGTGACCCCGCAGCCCCTCTGTCTCTGGCATTATGATACTGATAGTGTGGCTGTGAATAGAGCCAGCCAGGACTCAATAGCGCAGGCTGGGACCATCACATAAAGGCACTCGGGTCTGCCTTTCACTGTTGACTGGTTCCTGACTGTGTGGGTGTGTACGCATGCATGTGTAGACAGGAGGATACAATGAGGTACTTCTGTATTATTGATGCTCTTCTTTTGCTACCTGCCTGCTGTTAGGTGGGCTGGCAGCGAATCGGTCTGGTCTGTTTGGTGGGCTTGTGTTTACACGTTTGGAAAAAGATGGAAGCACCCTGTATTTCATCTGAGAGATGTTCAATATCTTGTAAAACTACAGGTTGTGTCAAATAGAGCTGCATCAGGTAGTCGATCACTAGAAGATTTGTCAGTGACTGATTATTGAGTAAGTTTTCCTGCAAGAACATCAAACGTTCTCTGCTTCTAAAATGTGAGATATTTATTGATTCAGTTACTCAAATGACTAGTTTTGGACTTAATGCCCTGGATAAATGTTAATAATGATTAATTTAATTTCATAAAGTTGCAAAGTGGGAGGAGCAAGAGGTGCCAAAAGTGTTTTAAAAAATTGCCCCACATTCGGAGTGAAACCTGATTACTCTCATGGCTGCTGGGACACCTGAACGAAATAGCACCATCATTAATGTTATGGGTAACACCTGTGGTTTTTTTCACAGCAGACATCTCAAAATGTCTGCTGTGAAAAGGTCAGTGTTTCAGCAAACAAAACAAAACAGATGTCAGCACATAGGGTTAACACTGAAAGTATCGTCTTTGGATTAATTGCCTACATTTTTCTTTTAATCCCATATACATCCTAACTATTCTCCTTGCATCTCGCCTTCTCTTTTTTTTGTGTGTGAATAGAAGTTTCCGGAGCTCAAGTTTAAATATGTGGAAGAAGACCAGCCGGAGGATTTCTTCATCCCCTATGTCTGGTCCCTGGTCTTCAGCTCTGGGGTTGGCCTCCACTGGAGCCCGCATGGCATCGAGCTCTTCAGCATGGACTCGGGCTGAAACATCTGCTGCAGCAGACTGCGTGTCTATATCCCCATCCCCAGTATAGAAAATGAGACTGATGGTGTGTGTGCGTGTTTGGGTGGGCGTGTGCGCATTACCCTTTATAGTATGTGCACGCTGCTTTGAAAGTGCCTCAACCTTGTGCAGAGTTTTTTCTTTCTTCTTGTTATGCAGCAACCTCTTTTTTTTTGTTCTTCATATCATAATCCTCTGCTTCTACACTGTGAAGCTTCATCTGTACAGGTTAACAGTTCACACAGTAGCACCCACTCATGTACCGTCGGTACATAGTGTAGTGAATACCTATTTAACATTTGAGTAGCTTCAGCCGGTTCCGCAGCACGCGCCGAGTTACATCTCTAGTGTCAAACCTTCTGCTGTTGAGAGGAGCTCAGGATACAGGCGGTAGATAATCCCACGTTTTTTCTTGTGTACGAAGAAAAGGTCAATTAAAACATATGCAGCGTTACACTGCTCTGGTGAACATTCATTTACCACTGCACTGAATACTAAGAAATAATACCAACTTCATATTCAAGACCGGCCATGTGTCTGGGGAGACTCGGCACATGTTTAAATATCCTCTATAATTCTGAGTTTTAAGTATGATTGTCTTGCAAGTTTGTGTTTTATTTTTGACCTCTAGCAGTTCACTGTATACAGTGGGTTTGTATAAAATATTTGTGTTTGTGAACTTCTAAACAGGTCAGCAAAACAGATCTGCCACAGAAAGTTTTGTTTGTAATGTTGCAGGGTTTTCAGATTTGAGCCTGTAACTGTTGCTCAGTGGCCGTCTCCAATAACCCACATTTATTTACAGCTTAATACCAAATTTCCCTCCCTAGACAATATTAGCAGGCCACATCTCTCTGATTCATGTGATTTCATTTTTGCTTCCTGCCCATTTGCCCTGTCTTTGTCATTTCCATTTTTTCTTGATGGTACCTAAGGCAAGTACTTAAACTAGGACAAGTCATTGAACTTCCTGTTTTATTGTGCATAATTACAGTTGTCTCTTCAATTTGTCACGTTCTTTGCATGTTAACTAGCGTGTTAAATTATTTATTTTGATGTATATTGTTTTATATATATATATTCATACCCCCCACCAAAATATAAACTGTAGTAGCATTGAAATGGCTACTGCTAATGAAAAAAGCTGGTACTTTAGTGCTTCCCAGGTGGGAAACTGGCTTTATATTATTACATATGATATGACAATAGCTGTCATTTTGCGGCAAATAAATAAAATTAAAAATAGGAGTTTAAATAAAAATATTAAATCAAAGTAAGTGTCATGTTTATTAAGCAAAATGAAACGCTGTAACCTTCAGGAAAGAACACAGAGGAAAGTGTAGCGGCTACAGAGGCCTGACACCGCTTCAGGGAGAAAAGTTTATGGCACCCACTGTGTCGCTGGAACACCAAGAGGGTTTCATGCCTCGTCTCTATTGATTTACATGCCTGAAATGATCTTCTATTCAAGAACATTATAATTGATGTAAAGAATGGCCTGTTTTCAACATGGGATTGTTGCTACAGTAGATTACAGTGAGGCTGCACACTTGAGGACACTGAGGTGCTCTGTCTCTCTGCACCGACTCTCACCTGCTTCCAGCTCGATTATCGCAGTGCCAGATGGCTGAGTGGTTTTCACAAAGTGACATGGCCTCCTTGTTCCTTCATGGTGCAGGGGTCACCTTACCATGGGCTCCTATTTCAGGTGACAGCAGGAAGATGGATGGAGCAGGGGATTTTGGGATGGGTAGTTTATTTATTTATTTTAGAGGCTGGTGCATTTTCCTCAAGGTCTAGGTGAGAATGTATTACATCATGGCTCCAGAGACAGAGGACATATCAGCATCTAGGGCGCTGGAGACCAGTTTGCTGAAGTGGTTCTGTACTCATGCTTGTTGCCCCTAGTGATACCAGTGGAAAGTTGTCAGGCTCACCGGTGTTGGGATGAGGCCATAGCAAGAGCGTGAGAACAACACAGAGTTAACAGACAGTTTCACTTGCTGGTAATCCTTCCTTCAAATCTGCAGTGGAATGGGAAGTGTTTGTATCTCTGTGAAATTTCTTTTGTTTTTGCCCACTTAAAGATATATTATGATCTCGATGTCCGCAAGATACCAGCTAAGTTCAGTAGTCAGGGATCACAGGAAGTGAACAACTCAGCTTGTTTTAGGAAATACTTTGTACTTACTGTAGATTCTTTAGGTCACCAGTCACTGACATTAAGACGTGACTTGACATCACAAGATATAAATTGTATAAGACAAAAACTGAGGTTAAAAAATGTAAGTGGTGGGTTTTTTATAGGTTTGTTAGTGCTATGATGGAAATGTTGGTTTGCTGGTCTGGCACGCCACCACTTTGCTATCACTATTTGGCCTTGGCACTCTTGTATGTAGAACATTTACATGTATACAGATCTATAAAGAGAACTGGGTCGCTGAGGCCTCCAGCTACTTTAATAAGATGCCACAAATTGAATCCCTGAACAAAACCTGACGGAGGCCATGTGAATGTAAAGTGACCTTCTCCATAGAATGTCTTCCAATGGGTAAAAACTGTGAAACTTTTATCAAACATCTTTTCGACATGAAGCCCACAGTGAAAAGATGAAAAGCATAAGAGAAAACTCGACACACGCAACATGATGGCCCTGTAAAGAGAGGGAGGCGTGAATTTAAATCTTCTTAGGTGTTGGTGTATTCAACCAGTCACTTCACTGCACTTTATAATTGTCTGTGACGGTTGGCTACATATTAATTTTCAACAAGTATGTAAATGTATGATGGCGGTATGTAGGGGGAGGGTTACCACCTCAGGGCACAAACCTTTGCATTTCTTTGTCTGATTTCACACACACCTGGTATCCATTTTGAAACATGTTTTTATCATACACTTTCTGTATTGTGTAACAAAGGAGAAAACGGAGACTATGTGTTTTGCTGTCAGTGCGTAAATAACACCTTGAAACAGGAGCAGACATTTTTATTTGCATCCTGCACCTGCTTTCTGATTGTGCTTTGTAATTTGAACCAGCTAATCTGACAAGTAACTGAAATGAGCCTTTAGCAAAACCGTACGATCTCAAAATCACCTAGCACTTGTCATTTGATCTGTTTAGAAATGTGAGCATTTTATTTACCTGCAGGTTTAGATATTTCACTTTTCTACTGCATTTTAAAGCTGAAACAATTCTCTCTTAGCCAACAGTTTATTTGGCAGCTAATTTGAT